CCACGCTGCTCTAGACCCACCCCCGTGACTCGCGCTCTGAGTTTTATTCGCTCAGCCCACGTGACTCGTGACGTCACAGTAGCTTTAGCGCGGCAACCAACATCACGTGATCGCCGCGACGCCACGTGGTCCCGCCAAGCTGGAACGTGGTTCCGGTAGGCCACGCCCCGATCGCGCGATATATTGCGGGAAGGAACCGCCTTCCCACAGAGAGAAAACAAGCTAAATGATTACGCGAGGCCGGAAAGCCATATCAACGACCATGTAGTGGAGGCTGCGGCGTAAATGAAACTTTATGTACCATCAGAGGAATTACTTTGTCACTGTAATTATTTTTTAACTTAAGAATTAGCGAATAGAACTAAACGAGATAAACCGCACAGGACTGGACACTAAACTTTCCACCACTGGGCTACTAAACTTTCTTAACTGTTGCGAACACAAAAGTTGACGAAGGTAGCTAGTTCTCGAGTACAATTAGAGAACCATTCAGAGAGAACATGGCGGCCACGGCGCCCCCAAAAGACCTAGGGTTTTAGTTTATTACCTTCCTTTATTTGGCAAAATTGATGGCAAAGTCGAAATTACAAGTTTGTGTACCTTAATAGAATTGAAATCATAGTAAATAAGCTAATGTAGGTAAATATATAGTAAAATTCTAAATGAAGTATTAAAAAATATCGCAGGAACTCTTATTAGAAGAACAAAGAACAAATTATTAAAAAAGAAGGGAATTCAATATAGAGATGCATTTCGCCTTCATAGACTGCGACCAAACTTTCGATAAAGTTCTAAGAAACAAATTATGGAACATCATGTATAAAAGAGATTATACCATACCTCCGATAGAGACAATCCGACAAGTATATGAAAACAATAATGCTATCATTGACATTGGAAGAAAATGTGCGCAGGATTTTTTTATAAAACAAGGCGTAAGACAAGGTTGCATCTTTTCTCCGACATTGTTTAATATATATCTCGATGATATGACACGCGAATGGCAAGCTAATATTCCACAAGGCATCATACTCTCAAATAATATCCCAATTAACACCTTGCTGTTCGCAGATGACCAGATAATTCTTCAAGAGACAGAAGATAATTTTCAGAAATCAGTACATTCCCTCCAAGGAATCGGATATAAATATAATATCCGTTCCAAAAACTAAAACTATGGCATTCCATGCGAAATATTCTGTTAGAACTAAGATCGTCGTGGATGAACATGTTCTGGTACAACTAAAATCATTTAATTTCTCAGGTTGTAATATTTTAATGAGTGGGAGGAAGAATATAGAAAATAAATTACATCAATTTCAAAGAATTTGTGGATGTATTATGAAAAAAATCTCATTACATCTCATGACTTGTAAGAAAGGTTTGTCAAGAGTACTGGCAGCTGAGATGAGCTTTCTGAGATTTGATAGGCTGCACTAGACTCGTCAGAATAAGAAATACTGACATACGAACTGAACTCAAAATCTTCTCACTAACCGTATAGAACTCGTATAGAAGAAAAACGATGTTGAAAGAACTCATAGAAAGAATGAGTGATGGAAAATTTCCAACAGAAGTAAAAATATAGGCCCCGAGGAAGAGATCCAGCTCGGCCAATAGAATATAGCTATATAGAATAGCGCTTAAATTCTATTTTCTTAAAAACGGCTCCACTTTTTCATAGAAAATTTCCATTTAGGACGAGGTTTTACTGTTTAATATTCTTAAAATATTTCCTTTCTACTATTAACCGTTGCATCACTAGTTTTCTTATCCTAGCACCGATCTCGATTAAGCATGATTTATACTCGCAAGCCTGGACCACACGAAGGCACGGTCGTGTTTTATTCTTCTACGGATGCGGGGGCAATGTTTCAAATCTGCACGAAAAAGGGAGATACGAGGGTTGCCTTTTATATTTCAGGATTAGAGAATGAAAACAAATATTAATCAATGGAAAGTCACTTTATTGTTTCTCAAAATATTCCCCATGAAGCTGTATACACTTCTGCATGCGTTTGCACAATTGTCGAAGCCTTTTGCCACTCTTGATTGGAATATCTCATGCATTCTGAATGCAGCAACCGCTTCTTCAGGTGTCGAAATACGTTGACCTCTCAGTTTGTTTTTTTACGTACGGGAAATAAAAAGAAGTCATTCGGTGCCAAGTCAGGACTATACCGCGAATGACTCATCAAATCGATGTTTTGGAGTCAAAAATGCAGTTCTTTGAGCCGATGTGTGAGAGCTCGCATTGTCGTGGTGAAGAATAATCCGTCTTCGGCGGTTGGTTTTCCTGATTTCTTGGAAGACAGCTCGCAAACAAATCGTTGTGTACCATTCAGAATTGACTGTTCAGGTTCGTTCTAGTGGTACGGTTGCGACATGTCCAGTTTTTCCGAAAACACAGGCGACCATCGGTTTGGAAGTGCTTCGTGCGCGAACAAATTTTGTTGGATTTTGCTCATCTTGAAACACACATACAGTCGACTGCTGTTTACTTTCAGGCTCATACGCGTAAATCCACAATTCATCACCTGTCACGATGTCGTAGACGTGTTTCGAAGCACCGCGATCGTAATTTTTTGAGCATTCTATTCGACCAATCGACACGAGCCTTTTTTGAGCGATTGACAAATTGTGTGGGATCCAACGCGAACAAATTTCTTTGACAGTCAATGTCAATGCATGTTGAATGTATGCTGGTCCACTAAAGCCTAAGGTTTGTCTCAATCTCACGATAGATCACATGACGATCTTGGAATATCAGTTTCACGCACAGCATCAATAGTTTTCGGAACAACAACTGATTTTGGACGACCTTCGCGAAATTCGTCTTTGAGTGACCTACGAACTTGATGGAGCTTCATCGCCAAATTGAATTAAGTTCATCCATGCACTGTTTCTGAGTTAATTCACGTCGAAAGTACTAAAATTATAATCGCACGAAAATGTTCACGACTTAATTCAATTTTTTGGTTAAGATTAATCTTTTAAGTTGCTGTAAACAACACAAATAGTGCTCGTATGTCAAAACGTTTTGAGTACGTATAACCTCAAAACAGCCAACTTTACGATAGAGCTGTCAGTTGCCAGATTGCAACACCAGGGTTGCCAAATCCCGAAACATAAAAGGCAACCTTCGTACCAGACACGATGTCTGATTTATTCCTTACATGTTTTGTTCGCTCATGAGCAACCCCATCCTACTTTTCAGTATGGACTCCGAATCTATTGAGAACAGCTTTTTGTATATGATATGAATGGGGGGAAACCAGAATGGTATAAGTGACATTTTATAAATTCTGAGAAAACTGTTTATTTAATTCAATATCACTGTAGAGTCATGGTTCTTTGAGTAATCATCAAAATCCTAGGATTTCAATTGTTCATTAAAACACGAAATTACATTGGCACAGAAATGTAACCTAATATAAAAACCTTTTTCTCAGAATTTATAAAATGTCTCTCATAGCGTTCTGGTTTTCCCCCATGCATGTCATATACAAAAAGGTGTTCTCAGTAGCTTCGGAGACCATACTGAAAAGTAGGATGGGATTGCTCATGAGCGAACAAAACATGTAAACATGTAAGGAATAAATTAGACATCTGGTTTCCACCCATTCATACGTATATTCTTCTCAGTGCTGGCGATTACGCATGTGTGAAGAACGGAGAACATAATTTCTTTTCCACTTATGCTATTTCAATATTTAAAAGGGAGTCCACAATAACATTTCTAACAGACCGCATCTCGAGTACAACAAATTCGTAGTCATAACACCGGATAGTCATGTTTTACCCAATATTACAATGAAAAGTTTCCTCATACGTTAAGTACTAATCTAAATTTTAAAATTAAAATAACAATGAAAATAATTATAATTATTAATTTTTTATAATAATTTCCTTTAAATGTAATTTTTTATTGTTTAAACGCCTTTTCCCACCTCGACTTAGCTAGAATAAATTCCTTTTTGTATTTTAGGTAAAATAAATTCCTGAACTTCCGGGATCTAGGCATGGATGACAAACTATCTGATTTACGTTCTACTAATTCTTGCCAAAAATGCACTTTGTACCTACATTCACAACCCAACTTAATATGCAAATATGTTAGAGCAAAGGTCTTAGACCTTCAGAAGCCTTGCATTGACACTACTTATAGTATGTCACAAACAGTTTTAACTGTTTTGATGTTAAATAAATGGTGGTGTAGTTATTTATATTCTCCTCGCGTTTATGAAATTTACAACATGAATGGAATATATTAAACTAAGTATTCATTTCAAAAATAGTATTAAAATCCCATGTTCTCGCATTCTTATAAATAATTATATAAAATATATTTCTAACAAAAAACTTCTTGCGGCGTGTAAAGTTACTGAAAATATAACCCTCAACATTACTAATAGAAATTAATTTTATTGATTTCTCTTATTTTGTATCAAAGGCACGTCTTTGAATTTGGTTCTTGAATATTTCAATGGTGGTACTATTGATGGAAATGTTGATGAACATAACCACTATCATCACCAAGTTAAACAATTTTCAATTTTACTTTTTTAGAAAAGTATTGCAGAATCCGACTTTAACATTGCACAACAGGTTATGAAGACAGTTGCAGAAAATAAATTTTCACCTTCCACTTCAATTAATAACTTATTGTGACGGTCAAATTAAGATCCAACGTGTCACCTCTGCATTTTGTTGTTAAAATATTGGCATTAAGAAGACTATATCCTTCGCCTAAAAACATTCTGGTCTAACGAAAAGAGACTTTTAACACAAATTCTGAACTGATATGAAAAGTGTCACTCGCAAAATAATTGAATTCGTCACTAATAACATATTTGCTAGTCGTCTTGTAAACAGAAATGTAATAAAACACAAGAATGCTTTTATGCACTACACGCGTAGGTGCGCAAGAACGGTACCATTTAGAACTATCAAAGTTTACCTAATTTCACTAACTAAATGCAATTACTCACAAGAAATACCTTATATTGCAAAAATAATTTGAAGGAACTCGAAGATCACGATCAGCAAACCAAGCAGAGCAGCAAACCAAACGACGTCAGAGAAGAAATACTCACTCCACACACGTGTACTCGCGCAAGTTTTCTTGATACACGAGTTCCCTAGTCATCCAGCGCTGAATAGCAGGGAACGTTGGGATACTTAGGTTCGATTTGGAACGGCACGCACCAATTTACAGTGCTGGCAACAACCATCTCGAACCTTTAAAAAAACGTAGCATTTCACGTGCCACGCTTTGGCTAGTTAAGTTCAGGCCCACAGTTGGTACGCCCTTTGAAGCCATGACGTAGCCAGAGGCCTCCTCTCCCCGCAACCCCTGCTGTGGAATATCAAGAAAACTTGAGCGTATAATACCTTCTGAGTGAACTAATATTACGTGAGAAAATATCAGCAAAATCAGTTAACCTATTTGACAATAATTATTTTAATAACTCTATAAAAATAGATTAAAAAGGAAATACAAAATAATTAAATCTTCTGTTAAGATAAAGATAACGCCACAGCAAAAAGTGATAAATTCTTTGCGCATTGGTTGGAAAAGTAAATCTTGTTGACAGAATTATTAGACACGTACGCATAATAACAGGCAGAAGATACATGCATAACAACTAAGGCTATGTTTACCACGTTACAGGGTAAGTATTGCTTAATTTTACGATTTTATCACAGTATATTGAATTTTCTGACAGCACGGACGAGGAGGTAAAAACACCGTCGAAACATGTTTTAACCTGAATTATTGTAAAGAATTTTATAAATGTATAATAATTTTGAGATAGATAGAGCTTAACTTCATTTTTCCTCTTCTTGACCTAGCAAAAGAACTTTCAACCTTGACCGCTTGTCAGTTTATGCACCATCCAGGATATTGTCATGCTCTCCAAAAGATCGCATAAAGCCGCCATGAATTGCTGGTAATAAGGTACACTAAGGTATTATATTTTATTGTAATAATTGTACATATGTGTTATTCACAAGGGTGGTATGTACCAAATGTATATTGTTATAAAAGTAAACAGATTCTATATATAGATTGAAACATAAGCTCAAGTAAGTATACGTGTGACCTAATGTAACTGGAAGAGTGTTATGTTCTTCATGTAATGTATATTTTGTAAATAATAACCCTCGAAATGCCGAACGGGTAAGAAATAATTTTTTTATCTCAAACTTTACTGTTTTGATATGAGATTCTTACCGAAACATCTCCCACTTAAGAGATCCCTGTGTGATTTAAAATGAAGTAACGTTCTTTTTTTTCATGCCCTGATTACAAAAGCAGTTTCGAGAATGTGTTCATCATTTTTTCTTTACTTCATTCTATTTGATTTATTTAGTCAAATCACAGTAAAAACTGAATGTGGCGTGTAGGAAAAAAGGACAAGTGCGCGTTTCCTTAAGTTCCAGAATCTCTTCGGAATTGGAGGTGGCCTTGAAGTGTTGCACAGTTCATGTTCGGCTCCTCATATTATTGTTAATTTTCTGATTTCAATTAAAGAGCTTACTATTGAAGGAGTATCATCTTGTTCTGTGACAACATTTTGCCAAACATTTAAGATGATTTATCCGTTCTATTGGTGGGGTAGACCTTGGGTCCCCCAAGATGGAGCACGTTCCACCTTTACATGAAGCTATCTCTTCAGCACTTAGAACTGTTTACAATTGCGATGCATGCCATAATGTGTCTACTGAAACGTGTATCAGCCGCAACGCTTTCTTCACGTAGCCTACTATGAAATGAGATATGACTAGTGAACTCAATGGACCTAATTCATTTAAGTACAATTTTATTTCAAGTTCACAACCAGAACAAATGTAAAGGTATCCAAAGCCCGCTAAAAGGCAACGTAGTGGCTTCTCGGCCCCTGGTTCTTCGCATAGCACATATAATGTGCCATTAAGCAATAGATTTCAAAATCTACCAACCGAAGTAACAGAAACAACAGGCGGAGAAAGTAATAACAATTATCCCATACCATCAATCTTCATTCAGAAATATAATAACCATGCAGAACTAATATTCAAATTAACAGAAATTTTACACCATAACCAATTTCAAACAAAATGTCAAGGAGTATACATAAAAGTGCTTGTAACAACAATTGAAGGTTATTCTCAGCTGAGAAGCAAATTGACAGAAAAAATATATCATACGTACATGATCCTACAAAAACAATTTCAGTCATCATACGTAATGTCCCAACATCCTCTGAAATATTAAATGAGCTCCTTCGTCTGAATTTTGCTGCCCTCACTGTCATTCGTCCAACAGATGCATTGAAAAATCCATGGCCGTTGGTAGCGGTCACGTTAACGAAAATCTAAGCTGCCAAGAAAATATCATCACTATTTTGTGCTATAATACGAGTAGAAAGAAGAAGACAATTCGATCTGACCAGTCAGCCCAGATATATACTTCTCTGGCCCAGTCAAGCTCTGGCAGAAATTGCAGACGTTTGGCACACAAAGAAAGACCTGAGGGGTTATCTATACGCTGCCGAAAACTGTTCGACAAAAATTCATGTTACATCGGAATTATTTCTTCTGGAAGAAGCTTGGGAAATTGGTGAGGAGAAGCTCACACATCCTCCAGATAAAAATGCCCTACTTTTATCAATATTTTGAAACACAAATCCTTTTAATCCTTCTAATTAGGTAATCAAGTTCCCAGATTGAACTTAAATCAAACTACTTCTCATTTCACTAATCAACATTTTTCTTTACCCAAAACCACAATTAAGAAATACTTTTATATCTCATGCCCGTCCTTTATATTCAAAAAAAGTAAAAGAAAATGTATGTAACAACTCTTCATTTATTGAACAAACAAATTCGTCTGCCTTATCAATTGCTAACCAACTTCAAACTTTAAAAAACCAAAATGTTTTTAAATTTAATACTCACAGGAATATAAAAATCTTGCAGTTCTGTAACATAAACTATACTTACAACGTTCAGAAGTAAATGAATATTTCTCAAAAATTAAAAATTCGTTCATGCCGGATACAGGTGTGGAATGCAGAAAGAATAAAAAATAAAATACTTTTACTTTCTTATTATCTACAACTGCATAAAATAGATACAGCATGTTTTCAAGAACTCATCTCTCCCCTTTAAATACATTTTAGTATATGTTCCTGGTTATTATATATACAGGTGAGATCGTAAAAATATAACTACTTTTGGCCATAAAGGAGGAGGAGCATCCGTGATTAAAAACTCAATTGAATATTACCAACTAAATTCTCTTTCTAGAAATGCATTTGAAAATATAAGAGCAATAATAAAAACAAAAGAATTAAACTCTTTTTGCATTTCTTCACTTTAGACAAATGAATAAAATATACAGAAGTGGTGATATTTTACCTTTGTTTGCAACATACCTACGTTGAAGGTCATTTTAATGCTAAATATTCTGCTTGGGAAAGTCGATTAGATAACACCACTGGATCAACTTTCCTGAATGACATAAACAATTACAGTCTAAATATTCACTCCGACGACTCGCCAACTCATTATTCCTATATTCCTAATATATGTTGAGATATAATTAATTTTGAATTATCACAAAACCGACATTTTTATATATCAACTAAAGTTCTCGATGATTTACCTTCAGATCACCGACCATTACCTTTTTTAAAATTTTATTTTATTTTTTTAATTCATTGCGTCTCTAAGCGCAACGCGTCTTCTAGCTCCTAGGAGCGTTGAGCGCACTGTGGATTACTACTGTACTATTCTGATGTTGAAAATAATATAAATAATAAGAAGATATATATAATCATATAATAATATGCATAAATAATAATGTAGTAAGAAAATAATATGTCTACATGGAAAGAAAAACTGTTTTGTACAGTATGACCAAAAATAAAAATCATGTAATTCTTTTCAATTTCAATTAGTCTATTTGTATGCAATATTGTTTTTGCTGCAATACATAAATTTCACAACGCATTTAAAATTATTTCTTCTTTTCTTGAAATAATATAATTCCTATATATAAACATGTTCCGTCCATCATCCCACTGGGCCCGTATGGACACACTAAAAATGTCAACTAGGTGACAAAAATAACTAAAGAACCCCATTTTTGTGTGTTGATGATATTTGGAAGTGATAAAGAGCATGTTATTTTTTTGTTAATTACTCATAACCTGGGTTGGAAAGGGTTAAAACATATTTTAGATACTACTGATACTGTTAACCCTCCATCTCCATTTAAACACGATACTCGACCTCCTATCCCTCTAACAGAACACAAATTAATTTTACACAAAAAAATCATGGAAGCATGCCTATGTTATGCAAATTCTTAAACTTGGAAAACTACCAGAAAACCCTTCAAATTACAGACCAAATAGTTTACTTCCATCTTTAGAAAAAGAAATTGAGCAATGCGTTTTTCATAAACTTAAAATTTTCTTAAATTCTGTAAATGCTATTCCTCACTACCAATCTGGTTTACACTCTCTATTCTCCACGAATCATCAAATATTCAGACTAACTGAAGATACACTTCTCTCTTTTAATAATTTTCCGTATGCTACGAGTAGTGCTGTTTTTCTTGATATTGAAAAGGCTGTTGATACAGTTGGGCACCCAGGACTAATTTACAAACTTTCACTTTTAGGAATTCCTCAATATCTCCAAAATTGGGATACGGACGAAACCATTCGACATTTCTTTGTGAAAATGAACTTAAAAGTACAGAATTTCCAGAAACACTTGAACGTCATATTCACAAAAATGGCTTCAAAATGGCCCTCCTTCTTCTTGATCTTTTCTTCTTTCACAAACTTTTCCAATGGAGAGTGCTAATTGCACTGTTTAATATGCCATAAAGTTCATTTTGTAATATTCTTTTGTTGTTTCAAAAATTACAGAAATGTAATTTTTTTAAATAACGCTCACGTTAATAGGTACATTTCCAGCGATTTATAAAAACTGTGGTATTTGTGTGTGAAAAGGCCTCAACAGATCAAATGAAGAGAACTCAAAAATTGTTTGTGAAAATAAGTTCCAATTTTGCCTTTATAACATAGCGTAAACGCCAGTTTCTTTAAAAACGGCTCCAATTTTTTAACTGAAATTCACAATTTAGGAC